CTCTCACACACACACACACACACACCACACACACACACACTCACACACACACACACTCACACTCACACACACACACTCACACACACAGCTGGACCACAAATATACAGAGACTTTCTTTTCTGAATATTACCATTTTTCTCCACTGATTGATGAGCCCTTCCTCCTCCTCCCCCTCCCCCTCCTCCTCCTCACCTGAATCAGCTTCTACAGGAGCATCCTTCTCATTAATATTTTTTGTTTTGTCTGATAATTTGGTCTTACCTTTTGCTATGTCAGCCTTGTTGAGGGAAAGACCTTTTGGTGGTTGAATCTCATCTGTTGCAGAACTAGTTTTGTCTTCTTTTTGTGGCTTCTTTTTGTTCTTTTTTTCTTTCTTGGCTTTTTGTTTGGCTTCCTTTTCTAACCTTTGCTTCTCAGCTTTGGCCCTCTGTTTCTCAGCCTTCTCCGCCTTTGTTTTCTTGAACATCTTGTATTTCGACTCTTGCGCAGGCTTCGAGAGACGTGGCGTCTGTCTGTGTTGTCTGCAGGCTTTATCAGCAGTTGGCTTTTCAGACATGTCCTCCTGGGTTATGTCCTTGTCTTCACTCCCATCACTGATGACTGCATCCACTTCCTTATGGTTTTCTTCTTCCTCACTGGATGCGACTGATTTGACCTCAGAGTCACTCCTGGATTTGACTTCGTCTGAAAGCTCTTTGTCTGATTCCTCGTTTGCTGTGTGTTCTGTATCTCTTTGGGTATCGTATACCTCAGCCTCCTCCTCACTGCTCTCCTCACTCCCCTGCGTCTCAACTGGCTCTTCGTTACTGTCCTGCTCCTCCTCCTTCTCATCGCTACTGGTTTCCTCTTCCGTCGCCTTCACTGAACTTCCTGCATTGTTCTCTGATTCCTCCTCCTCACTCTCTGTCACAGTGTCATGTCTCTCGTTTTCAGGCTTGGTGGGGAGCTTGTTTTTGATCTTCCCATGCATGGTTGGGGGTGCTTTTGGTAAGGGTTTGAGTTTAGTAGTCTTGTTTATGCCCCCTGTAATCTTACCATCTTTTCCATATTGAGATTGTGAGCTACTATTTGCAGTTGTCCCATTTCCTAATGTGCTCCCCGCTTGTTTCTGTGGTCCCTTTTGTTCTGTACCTCTGTTTTTACTTTGATCTGCTTTATTCCTTCTATTACTCTTCAGTACATCTGTCTTTCCATCGTCCAGAGTTGGTGAATTCCCTTTACCTTTTCGTTTTCCATTAGACTCTTTAGAGGGAGGCTGGGATGCTTTGGAACCATTCTGTCTCATATCTTTTTGTTGCTTTCCTTTTTTTGCCCTCTGCTTCGTTGCATTTGTTCTACCTTGGGACTTGACTGGTGACATTGCTATGAATTCTTCAGAGTTGAAATTACCTAGAGTATAACAAAACTGTATGTATTCATTTATTTATTTTGTCATTTGAGATCATATTGACCTGGAAAATTGCAATACGTGCATGTTTTAGCAGTCAAACATGAGAACATTTTTAATCTATCAATGTCACACGTAAGTTAGCCACTCACTAAAATGAACAATTCCAGTCTGTAAATTGAGAAACGCATCTGTCAAACTCTGTGAAACCAGGTCCTTGGCTCAATCCATCAGCATTTATACCAGGTTTCACTTTAAGTCCTTGATCCTTGTTCTGAGGCTAAAGACACCCAGGTCAAACCTAGTTTATCCACAACTGACTTGATTCTTTATCTAACAGTCATTGCTAAGTTGGAAGGCTGCAATGCATCTCCATCAAGACAAACTCAACAGTAAAATTGACATAGTGAAACAAGGAAAAGCACAACAAATTCATGCAAAGTGGCTATAATCTTTCCCGTAGTGGATGAAAATGACTCTCATTTTCCTTTTGTAACAGAAAACAACAGCTATTATCTGCAGGATAAATCTAAACTGCAGTGAAAGGCTATCTTTAGATCCACCTAAATGTAGTTGTATAGCCTGTATGCCCTGGGGGTAGAGCAGTGAGAGCTCTTTCAGTGTAATATAGCTTACCAGGCTTCTCAGGTGAAACCCAGGCATGGCTGGGGGGCTGCAAAGTGCTCCGACTTGTCCTCAAGAGCTGGTGTCACTGATACAAACGTGCACCCACGCTCAAGAGGAGAAGTGAAGGAAAATTACACACTAATATCCCACCCACTAACATTATACAGCAAGGCACACTGCCACCAGTGCAATACACACCTAACAGAAGTGTGTGTGGTTTATGCATACACACAATGCCCCGGTTGACAAAGGTGAGCTGGCGAGCAAAAACGCACGCGCACACAAACAAAAAGTGCCTTCTGAATAATACAGCCCTGCCTGGCAGGTCATACAGCTCTGCTGCCGTTCATATGGCCAGCTGGTGAATACTTGGGAGGAAAGGTGAGAGGTGCTGCTTGGAGTGATCAACAAAAGGTGCTGATGGAGGAGAGAGGGAGAGGCAGAGAGAAGAGAGAAAAGGGGTTCATTATCTGTTTTTTTTCCTCTGGGAAAGGGATTCTGTCAGTGCGTGCTGGAATGCTGGACTGGACTCATTTCTAAATAGTCAATATCTCACAACAGGCCATAAGTATTTAGACAGTGACACATTTCTTCTTGTGTTGGCTTTGTGCTCAGATTACAGTTACATTTAGTAAAAATTTGGATTATTTAGCAGGATTTACAATTTTTAAAATGTTTTCTTTTAAAATACAGAGCAGAGGACACATTTTGATGCTAAAAATCTTTCCGTTTTTATTTTCTATTCAAAGGTTACATTGTTCAGTTGTCTTTTTCTTTGCATAATTGGTGTTGAGGAAAGTAATAAAATTACATTACTTTAATATTGTGGTACTTGTATTAGGTTACTGACTACATTT